AATCTTTGGCTTTTTTCCAATTATTATATTTTTCAACAATCAATTTCCCAGGATTTTGTTGACCACCCTTTCCTAATCCATCTGATGGTGGGAATAAAATACATGTCAAACAAAAAGCCCCATCTTGTATTTTTGAGTAACGAAGCCAACAGAACTCATGCGTCCAATTTATTTGAAATCTTAAGTTCCTATTGCCACTTTGAGGAAATTTATAACTTGGATCAGGTACCCATATATTTTTTAAAATATTTATTTTTTCTTCAGCTGACCACTGAAAATTAATATTATTTGGGTAATTTAATAAATATATTGTTAATTAGTATTAATGATTAATGTACAAAATATATAAAAAATAATAATTCGCATCAGAAGTGTAACCTTTCATATAAATCTAAAATCTTTATAAAATATAAATAATAGTAAATCTTACCTGTTTTCCTATGTAGTAAGAAATATCTTTTCATGCTTCAAAAGTAGAAACTAAATTTTTTGTATTATCCAATAAATCAGAAGCCGGAATTTGGGATGATGTCGACGGTAAGGAAATTTCATTATTTTGAATAACGTTGTCGTCAAGTTTTAGTTTTTTAATAGCTTGTGGAGATGTTGAGGCAGTAGGGCTGAAGTATTTCAAAATGTTATTCTTTGATTCTTTGCTTATTTTATGTGCAGTAATAAATAAATTATAAGACGCTAATACAAATCGAAAGCACAGCACAACAGTTGTTCCGCGATCAGTGTAATCACTACAGAGTACAGACTGACCAAACATTTCAATACGGTCAATTATTAAAAACGCTTTCGAAGTATTCGAAAATGCACTAAGGTTTAATAATGTAAAAATACATTGGGAATTATAATTTGTAAGATATCGATATCACAATCGCAGAAGCCGCTAATCGGTTTTAATATTATGTTATCTGTATTCTGTATCAAAATGTCATGTAATTCGTGTTTTGCTAATAATTAGTCAGTTTTATACGTGCGTCGTACACTATACGAAAGTTATCTTGAAAGTTACAAGAATCTAAAAATTATAATATTTTGACGTGTAATGGTGACCGCTGGGTGCTGCGTGCTGTGTCGGTCGATCATTACAAGCCCCGAACCCCCTTGGATCTTGGAACTAAGTGATACCATGGAAGAAGTTATTGAGATGAAAAATATGTTCACATGGCCAGCTGCATTGCATCAGGCATGTAAGATTTCAATATTTCTCGGAAACGAAATGCCATTAGCTAAAGATACAAACATTAGTAATGTTGAAGATTATTTGGACCACATCGAGGTTCAGAAATTGAAACAGCGTATTCCGATGGCTTGTACGGGCATGGCCGGTTTCCGCCAAAAGTGTACCTTTCCCTTTTCCCCCAATTCACTTTTCCGCCAAATCATAAATTGTTCGATTCCCTTTTCCGCCAAAACTCTGCCTTTCCCTTTTCCCCCAATTCTCTTTTCCACCAAATCAAAAAAGTAAGTCTAGAATTTGAATAATGTTTGAATATTATTTATAAAATATACAATATGTCAGTCAACAATATTTCGGTTCAAAAGAAGTAATAAATTCAATAGTAAGTTATAGTTTATCGAGAACGGTTAGAAAGCGACTAGGCTGCGTACTATTATAGGTACAATAACGGTTGGTTTCGTACGTATCATACAACTGTCAACTGTAACAATATAACTGGTACAACAAGCAATCGATAGCGTTTGGGAAATAATCCCGATAATCAGTGATAAATTTATCATTTGGTTGAAATTACGGTACGTTATAGGAATATATATCATTATAGTACAAACTTTTTAATGTATATAAAATAAAAATAAAATTATAATTTATAATATATTAAAAATATTTAAATTATACTAGACTAACTTTTTTGATTTGGGGGAAAAGGGAAAGGCAGGGTTTTGGCGGAAAAGGGAATCGAACAATTTATGATTTGGCGGAAAAGTGAATTGGGAGAAAAGGTAAAGGTACACTTTTGGCGGAAACGGGTAACTCCCGGCCGGTACATGCTTAAAGCAGATTTGAAGAGGAAAGCAAACAAACAATTAGCAAGGGGCTGGCTATCTTTATCGTCCGAAACTGAGGTAATACAAATATTTTTTTTTTACATATTACTTTATACTTAAGAAATCTAATTTTTTTTATAGCCTGAAGTCAAGAGACCGAGGACGAGGGCATTTGCAGCAAAATCAAGACGTAGATTAAGTTTCTAATTTTTTTTATATATAAACTGTAGATTATGTAATATTTTATTGTAATGGGATGAATATAATTTTCTTATTATGGTCAATAATAATAAAAAAAACAACGTGATATTTAAAAAAAATGTATTTTTATTTACAAAATTATTTACAATTTCCTTACATCACCACTAAATAGATTGTAAGTTATAGTCTGGTCATGTAGTATTAAACAATAAGCTGCAGTTTTTTCTGGAAGAACTGTATCCGTTTCAAATTCAATTTGCAGGTCTACGGTCGATGATTTAACGTTATCGTTCTGACGTGACATATCAACTACGACGATTGGAACGTAGTTTTGAAAAATGTGTTTTGATAATAATAGCTCACAATAATCTCTTTCGTGATACGATTTTTGAAAGTCTGTATAAGCTTTATACAGTATACTGGTCTTGTTATTTTTAAAATCTGCTCGGAAGTCTTCATATGGGTACACTTCAGAATTTAAGTGTACCTTAAGATTTTTTAGTTGACAGTGATCAAACCGTCCAGCTTCGGTTTCGATATTTTTTTTTCGATCTGTTTGTAATCCAAACAGTACAAATCTCGGTTTTTCTAGCAAGCTTTTAGACTTTTCCGTCCATGAATGAGATTTATTTCTAGGGAGTATTGGATATTCGCACAGGTCCCAGGTTCTGAACGCACACGATAGTGTTCTATGTGAATCTATTACTTTTATCAATCCTAATTTTTCTTTATCACTGACCTTGATAATAGGCATTTTCCAAGTCACCTTAGTAAGTTCAATTGTAATTTTTTTATTTTTTCAACGGCAGCGGTTGCACCTTCGCTCACAACATGTATCGCGTCAAGGTCAGTAGATGCTCGATTTAAAATCAGTTGCTGATTATAATTAAGTAATATTTTTTTATAATCTTCGTAAAACCCGAACAAGTGTTTTAGAGGAATGCAGCCGGTAAATACATTGTTGGTTGGTCATAAAATTTTTATTATCCTCACTATCCATTACCGAGTCCCAAGCCGCGTTTTCTAGCGCATTCAAGTCGTTTGGAGTATACGAACAGTATGCTTTCAAACAAGACGAAACTCCAGGTGATTTTAATTTCTGTATTTCTATTCCATTTATTTCATATTGCATTTCAGTGAATAAAAATGCCAATCCATTATTTGAAAAACGTACTTCCCCAACAGCATCGGAGGGTTTATTTACCTTTCCCTCAATGTAAATATAGCTCTCACACGGTAAAGTGTACGAGTCCATATTTAAAACACTTATCCTGATTTCATCGTTGTTAGATAATGACATGTTTGAGTACGGAGTGAACGAATGATAATTCATTTGTGAAATTTTGCACTCGTCAACATAGTCGGCCGTAACGTCTAAGTACGAGTCATCCATCATTGAAACGATCTGAGAAAATTCAAATTATTTTTCGTGAGCTTTGCCTCGTTTCTTTTTGGTTTAGATGTCGACTTCTTAACGGCAGTTGGTAAACTGGTAGGTTTTTTTATTGTAGTTTTTTTTATATTAAACTTGAGTGCCATATCCACGCGTTATTTGTAAACGAACTGTTATTGGCTCACCGTGCAGATTAATTAGACAATCGTTCTGATCTTTTAGTACGATAACTACTCTACTTATTGATCTCGTGTTGAGACTGTAGAAAACTGGGTGTCTAGGTACCTCGACGATTTTATACCCAGTAGGTACAGAGGGATAAAGCTCGTGTAGAATCTGGCTCGACACTCCGTCACAAAATGAGCCAGTAATCAAGTTTCACTCTACTTTTATACAGTTTATTTTCATTATGTTGACAATATTTTCAGACTCGTGAGTGGCACCAGTAGTGTATAGAACATTTCGAAAGCCTAGCAATTTCGCTATACTATTCTCAACACCCAAGTCCACTTCATGGCTACACGATATACTGCACTTTAATGTCCTGCTGTATGCTTTTAACTCAAAAAAACTGACAAAATCAGTCATCATGTTGTGTATAATAGTCTCTAAATGAACCAACTCGTAAGTGCCTGTAGGTATAATAACGTTCTCATTTTCATTGATTATATTACGAAAGCCGATAGTATTGCAACCAGGTTCTATGTTTGGTATCGAATTATTTGTCTGTAAACTCGAAAGACATATTTGAGCTGTATTTTCTACCTCTAACGGTGGAAAAATATCGCATTCCAATTCACTAGAGTTCTCATTTAGTGTTATCGTATACATGATAGAAATTTCAAACACAATTGTCCGCAGTTGTAGTATTATATTTCTGCTCTCTGTTGTAATTGAAATGTATGCCACTCCGTGAAAATATTGTTGTACTTCTAGAGGAGGTGGTAAATTTCCAAAGCTGTCGTAATAGTCAACATGATTTCCGATTTTTTTATACGCTATCCAATGGGTTCCTGTACCGTTTTCCTCATCCAAGTTAATAATTGCTGATTCTTCACGCCTAGGACGTGTAGATAACCTATCTCTGGTAAACACTCCGATGAAATGAGGTATTTTCATCAAAAGAGCGATTTTTATAAGTTCGAAATCGTACAACGCTCTCCTGGGTAACGTAGATATTAGTTTTTTTTCGCTTTTGAACCCCCACCTCTTTTAATTGGTGTGATACCAGAACCAATTTTGTAAGAGTTGCCTTTATACGGTGTGAGATATAACCCTTTGCCCAAATGCGATGGTGTATTTCTATTAAATTCATTAGCAATCTTTACATCGTTGGCAACACCACCAGTTAGGGCTCCCAGAGCTGACAAACCAGCGAAAATCGGTATGAGCGGTAACAGCCAACAGGCCGCCTTTTTTCGGAATTTTTATTGTTCGTGGAACTTTTGTCTTCTTAATTTTAAATGTTTTTCGTGCGACAGTTACACATTTTTTAGTTAACTTCATCAAGTTTTTTTCACCTATATTTTTCTTTATAACGTTTTTACTCGCTTTAAGTGCCGCTTTAAAGCCACAACCCCCACCTATTTTACGTTTTGTTTTCATGGCAGTCACACCCCTAGCCACAGCTTTTTCTTTTAAACTAGAATCTTTTGACTTGAACCTATCCCAAGCTCGCCGCTCTAATATATAATCGGCTTGGTTACGATCTGCGATAGAATTACTGTTCTCGTATGTAATGTCATGCTCTTTACAAGCAGAGTCCAGAAGATTTATACCTTTATCACCGCGAGCTAAGCGTTTTTTTAAATTTGTACCAGGTCCACAGTACTGATAACCTAAAATATAAAATGATTAGTTAAGATTTATTAGATATAATATACCAGGTACGTGAAGCTCGATTGGTAATTTGTTTATAAGTGTGTTGATCAGCCCGCTGCCTTTATTCTTGTTAGGTTTCCTCGACTTAAGATATAAATAACCATGATCAGTTGCATTAGTTAAAATGTGTATCACCAGATTGCGTGTTAGACTTTGGCGATTCCCAATGAACGATACTTACAGAAGCGACTCACGACACAACGAAGACTGATGAATAACGAAAACACATGAACGATTACAACTGATGAATGGAAAATTTGCACAGTCGAATGTAATGTAGTAATGACTGATCTATCTCTAGCTGGAACACCACACAGCTCGAGAGACGGCAAAGAACAAAAAACAATGAACGAATGTAATGAAAAATGAATACGGTTTAGACAAAAACGAATGAAAAATGAATAACCAATGAAAAAACACATAATTCACGAAAATGCGATCAGTACCACCTTAACATTTTATCTGTTGAAATAAAAGCTTTCGGTGGCACTGAAAGCCTTGAAAAACTTTATGAACACACTATAAATACTGGACGAAACTACGAAAAGATGAAATTTTAACGGTTGAGATACGCACGCCGCACACTATCAGACTGATAATGGCTATTCACTATCACAGTCCGACAGTGTGACAACGTACGCACTCTTAACATAAATCTACTTCGCGCTGAATGGCGCGAACAATACGGTTATATTTAGCCTGACCATTTAAATTATCGTTGTATACACGTTTACCTAAATAGTTTATAAGTTTTATAAAAAATTAAAGATATATTTAAATTAAATATGTACTTTGTTTTGAAGATGCAGCTTGTATATTCTCGACGAAAATATTTGGAGCTATTTCAATCATTTCCGGTTCATCATTATCAGCTAAAAAAATTAATATATTGGGATATTATATACATAAATAGATATATAATACTTTTGCATAATCCTTCATATTCCGCTTTATCTAATACATCAATAAATAACCATCATTGTCGTCTTCGAACGTAAAATTGTCATCATCTAAAAAACAAATAATTATTGGTGATTCAAAATATACCTATTTAATATAACATACTTTTACACATTTCATTATGTTCGACCTTATCCAACACATCAATACAATAGCCATCATTGCTGTCTTCGTACATTAAATTATTATCCCTTCATCAAACGCGTTGTTATCATCTATAATAAACATTTTTAATTAAGCGTGATGTATTTACTACACATATACATTATATATACTTTCATGCATTCCACTTTTTTCAACCTTATCCAATACTGCTACGCCTTCGATGTCTACAAAAGTTATACCATATGTTAAATATTAAACACTAAATTATATATATATATAGTTCTTACTTGCAGTTGCTGCTGTAACTGGCTGTGCATTACTGTTTAAAATACCTAAAATGGAGCACTACTTTATTATTTCTTATACACCATACTATAATGTACGTATGGTTGTAGATACTAAACCCCTTTAAACGCTCAGATAACATATTTAATTATACGAGTATTCGGATACGGTATATTAAGTAAAAAAAAAAAATCAATGTTATATGATGGGAACAAAACAAATGAAAAAAATATATATATTATCATCCGTGACACGCCGGTTCAAATAATGTAAACAAACCTGACAACTGTATACAGTCATGTTAAACGGATCCGCGGCACTGAGTATATACATACTAAGATTATTTTCGTAAAATGATAAAAATATTTTCCCCCGATAGAATCCTAATATTTTATTGCATGAAATTTACTCACCATGAATACTTTTCTCGTGTCGTCTGAGAGCATATTTTCTACTAAAAGAAGTGTTGCAAATAATGCATTTAAAATCTTCAATGTCACTATGACGCTTTAAATGACTAGTTAAAGCGTCATTCCACGAGAAAGTACAAAGGCACTGTTCGCATTTAAACATTTTTAATATCCACAAAAATATAACTAACCAGTGACGGTATGTGATGCTAGCCTGTCTGATCGTTATTAACGCATCTAACTATGGTCAAGTCAAATAATAATAGATTTTGTATACATATCAAGATTTTTGCTGTGGTAGCAATTTTATACCCCCGTATGACGATGTTTTTTTTTCATCTTATACATATATTTTAATTCATAGGAATGGAAGGGATTTTAAGTATTCTTCAGGATCAAAAAAAATATATATATACAAGAGTGTGAGAAAACGTCTATCAATAGACATTATGCTTGATAAACATTTCCATACAGATTTTTTTGACCACCCTGTTGCATTTATATATTGGTAATATAAACAATTAATTAATGTGTATACATATACGTATAAAGTTGTGACGGCGGCCCGGTCATGGCTGGGCGGCGAGTAGTAGCAGGGGTGGGTCATCTGTGGCCGGGTGGGTAGTGGTGAAGAGGAGAGGTGTTGGTGGTGGGGGCGATGGTGCGGTGGTGGTGTGGTGGTGGTGGTCCCAGGATCGGCAAATTTATACTACTCCTGAT